AAGCAATTAAAAGACGTAACAGGATACGTGAAATGCAAGCAACCAGCTTTATTTTATCTAATTCTGGAGTTGTATCATGCTGCCATAAATAGAATGCGAAAACGCTATGCAGATACAGTAGCCACAGGAAATGGAGCAAAGGTAAGCATCAAACTTTAAAAATATGAATTATAATATATTCTTGACATACTTATTATTATTATTTTATTAAATTTATAGAAACCCGGACCTAATTTATATGAATACTACTTGGACAATACTGCACTATCTCCTCAACCTGTTACTATAAATGTGATCAAGTCATTGAAAATATTCGACCGTATGGGTATATGGTTTAAGGTATTTTTATTATTTTTATAAAATTCTATTTTGTATTTAATAAACTTCAATTAAATATCATTATTTTTTAATAAGATTATAAAGTCAATCAAGAAAGCCATCAGAAAACTTAAAAAATAGTAATAAATCAACTTGAGTTTGTCAGACTTCAGGTTAATTCCAATGAACATTTTGCATCTCATTCTCCTTCGAAGAATTTTTAAAATGGTGTCGTCAAACTTTACGTGGATTGAATGATGTGAACGGTAAATTTTTTTTCATTTATATTTTCTTAAATAGGGATTTTATTCAGATGTTGCTCACTTTCCCACTTGATCCTCCTCACGTCAAGATTCGATTTATGCTAGTTCGCCAATTCTGGATGGTCAAAGATTTGCTGATGAATTGTCAAGAGACGTAAAGCAGACGCTAGCCGTTAAGTGGCTTTTTATCACAATATAATCATGGTCGTTTATACGATGATTCTGTATCTACAAGCAACAAAATCTGGTCATCTTCTTGTCACACATAATCTTGGTCGATATACGAAAATAGAATAACAAACCGTAGTTTAAGAATGGCCTTTAAATGGCATCGAGAAACGGCCAAACTGGTTATTAAAGTTGGTCAAGGGGAAAGAAAATCTCGAAAAGGCTTTTTACAGCAGCAGGAAAACAAATTTCATATAAGTTAAGTGAATATTATGAATCCGGTATGATATTGAAAAAGATGAATTTAAGCATTTGAAATTATAAAGAATCCGGTCAATCTAGGGTAAATAAACGCAAAGTTAATGCTAGATATTGATATTAAATATATCTTTAATATAACTTATAAAAGAAGCAGTAATTATAAAATATAATTATTATCTTATTAGAGTTTGTTAGTAAATAAAAGCAATATAATATCAAAAAATAAAAAGATATTAGTATTATAGTGAAAGATAAAAGTATTTAAATAAATATATAAATATTTTAGGTATCATTAATTTTATTTAATTTAATTTACAAAGTATTTTTAAATCAAAGTTTTAGATATATTACTTAACAAATATAGTAAATATCAATTATATTTAAATATTCAAAAATGTTTTTAATATATGAGATATATGATAGTTTTAAAACTTTTTAATTAAAGTTAATATTTTTAAAATAAATAAGCTTTAATTAACTAAGATTTTATAGTATAATAACTTAATATTTTTTATTTTATTTAATATTTAAAATTTTTATAATTAATCAATACTAATCAAATGATACAATTTAACTAAAAATCAGTTAGTTAAATTATAGATAATTCAAGCTAAATTATAATTCAAATATAATTAATTTTCTTAATTCTTATTAGTACTAATCAAATCAAATTTAGATATAATAATTTAAAAATAATTTAAATTAAACTTAAAAAATTAAGCTTAAACCAACTTAAATTAAGTAACAATTTAAATACAATTTAGTCAAAAATTTAACATAATGAATGTATTATATATTTTTCTATAAATATATATTTTATACAGTCTCAAAAATATAAAGATTATATAAAATTTCTTAAATGCACATTTTTTCAAATTTTCATTATGATCCTACAGCATGCATTTAAAGTGTCTCACTATATACAGTAAACTCTTGATATAACGAATTCTAGGATCTGGATATCAACTTCGTTATAAGCTTATAACGAATTTTT